GGGGGGTAGGAACCATCGTTTTTACAAACGGAGCACCGTAGGTACCCCAAACGAACTGGTGTAAGCAACTGGTGTCATTTTAGACGCTCCCATATATATATATATATATATATATATATATATATATATATATATATATATATATATATATATATATATATATATATATATTAGACCAGTGCAAACAAGGGTCGGCCCGTTCGGCCTGCCCAGCCCGCCCTTTAAAAAGGGCGGATATGGACAACCTTTCATACCCGAATGGGCGGCCCGGCCCAAGCCCGAATTGTATATGGGCGGATATGGAAGTTACCTTTAGCCCATCTGGGCCAACAGGCCCGCCCATATTCATCAAATATATTTACTTTATTATTAATTACTTAGCCAATACAAATTTTAAAATTTTCTATAATTCATGTATAATAGTTTAATTCACTCACCTCTTTTAGACAAAAATCAATACTCTTTCAATGAATCAGTATGATGAGTTTATTAATTATGCAACAATATCTCCATTATGCTTTATATATAAATGTGGTGACTCGTTATTTTATTTTAAACATTAAAAAGGGTTCAATGTTTTTTTTAAAAATTTTTTGTACAAAATAAATTTTCTTGATGTTTTCTCCGGGCCGTGCGGCTCGGTGGGCAGTCCGGCCCGCAAAGATGGGCGGGTATGGTAAAGAATTTAGCCCATCAAATACGGGCCGGGCCAGGCCCGCCCATGTAAATGGGCTAATAATTTATATTAAGCCCGGCCCAGATCCGGCTCGGATCCTTATTTGCACAGGTCTTATATATATATATATATATATATAGGGATTTACTCCAGTGAGATAACACCTTACGGTGCGATGACATGCTTCGGTCAGGTCTTTTCTATATATATATATATATATATATATATATATATATATATATATATATATATATATATATATATATATATATATAAGTTTATTTTGTTTTCTTAATACTTTACACAAAATATTTATATTTTAGAAGTATTCTAGAGAAAAATAACTAGCATAATTTTCTCTAGAACGATATTCATAGTTCTTGTGTCTCAACTAGAGGGCATATACTTTTGTGGCTAGCTCTTGGACCAATCTTCCAACCTACATATATTGTTGCTTGCTCGACAAGAAAAGTATATTCTTTAGCAATAACTTATAATTATCATAAGAGGTCTTGGGTGATCTATGTTTGGACATAAAAAAATTTGTTTTCCGCTGCGCTATATTTTTGAGAGACAAGGCAACGGTGGCATATCAAACTAGGTGAGACTGTTGCCCTCAAAATCTTGTATCTTTGTGATCACTATGGGGCCGACCCTAAAAAATTAAAAAAAATAAAATTGGCCTGGTCCAAAATTATCATTTTGGGCCCTATTTTATTTTTTTAGAATACTTATACTTTAAAATTATTACCAAATTTAAAAATATGGTGCCCAAAAATTTTAAGAGCCCTATGTGGTTCGCCACTTTGCACACCATCCGGGCCACCCATGGCACCCACCCCCCTCATCACTCAGATCATCAATATAGGAAAAGCTTTTGATATCATTTTAGATTTGCAGTGAATCAATATATTCTGATTGAAGAGTACTGGTAGATGTTATCTCTTTGCTCTTTTATGAGCGGGCAACTTCCATGCACCTACTACATCTCCTTTACTCTATAATTTTTTTGTGATAGAGAGAGGTAATAAGTCATTCATTTATATTCCCACAAAACGAGGGGCTGACTCGGGGGCGATCAAGTGGAGCCACTTGACTCAGTGAGTATATTTAAAGATGTATATATGTCGCAAATTATATCGTACATCCGGTTGTACCGAATTTTTTGTACAACCGGCTAATTGAGGAAGGAATAAGATGGAACGGAAGCCACTGGAATTTTTATCGCTCCTCTATTTGCCGGGTCGGGCCATCGGAGACGAAAGACGATGGAGCAACGAAGACGGAAGACGATGGAGCAACGAAGATGACGAGGAGTGATGGTGGCAAAAATCCGGTGAAAATGATGGAGAAGAAAGATCTAAGGAGCACCGAAGGTGGCGGCGGCATTACAGATTGAGGTTGTGGGTGGAGTCTCGTAGATCGAGGAAGAAAGCCACGGTAGATGGGAGGAGAGGCTGGGATGAAAACCCTAGTTGCAGAGAAAAAGTTATTTATGGTATGTGTTTTATTTTATTTGAGAATGAGCATTAAGTTATTTGAGATTGAGTACTATTTTTATTCAGAATGAACACAACGTTATTTGTGGATAAATATTATACTCCGTAATTGAATTGAATAAGTGTGTGAAAATGAGCACTATATTATTTTAGAATGAGTACTACGTTATTTTAGAATGAGTATCACACTTTTTCAAAATGAATAGTAATGTTTGTGCGAGAATGAGTACTACTCTACTTCGGAATGAGTACTACCCGGATATACATATCTCTATGTACATCCGGTTGTACCATATACCTTCTCGTATATATGTAGTATTCAAAAAATATTAAGCTTCTAGTGAATTTGGCTATTTCTTTAATGAATGGTTTCTCCCCTAGCTTTTTTGGTTCTTTTCTAACATCTGTTAGTTTTTTAATACTCCATTTTTTGATATTCAAAAGATAGGTATTCATTTTTTGCACTATGTAAAATCATCTTTCTATGTTTTTAACTCTTTAGTCCTCTTATCATTAAATACGTAGTATTCTGTATCACTTTGCTTTAGAAATTAATTTTTTATTATTTAAAGTATTTCTTTCTTTTCTACATACGTGTGGCTATACATTTTCAATTTTCTTATTAATTGTATTAAAACTCCATAACAAATGCCATGTACTCCGTACAATGCTAGATTACCACAACGCGAACTTCTATTTAACGAATAAAAATATGAAAGTTATATTTTGGTACTTTCCATATGTTTTACTTCTATTTAGGATGATTTTTTTCTAAAAAAAATACTTTCTCTATGTCCCAGTTTGACTTATTATTCGAGTCAAATTGGATGAACTTTGAGTTTCAATAAAAAAAGTTGTAATGTATTCTAGCATAAAAATGATTTATTAAATTTATCTTATTTAGAGTTTTCAAAATTTTATTTTGTTATACTAATATGCAATACAAATTAAGAATAATTAAAACTTAAAAATTTGTTTATTTTGACTCGAAAAAGTCAAACTGAACAAATACACTTAAACGGAGGTATTATTTGGATACGAGAGATTTAATTACCCTGGTCTAGGTCATACTTTGTGTGTGTTCATTGTTTTCTCGACCGCTTACTTTTACTTTCCCGATTAGGTTGTCCTAACCCGGCCGGTCACGTAT